CAGGCAGCAGCTAAACTAGAACGGTATTTGGAAACCTGTTAAACTGTTAGTGATTTCTAGTGACGATTGGGTTCAGTTGTCGTTTCAAAGTTAATTAGGTAGTCTGATTGGGTTAATAATTATTTTCCCAAGCTACCCTGTCTAGGAAAAGTCCAAATTGGGTTCAGTTGTCCGGTAGCCATTTTTGCTAACGAGATAAACAAATTGCTTGATAACTTCTTCATTTTAAATCCGTTTCGCACCATCTTTTCAGATTATATTCCGGATTTAATGACCTATTGCATTATTTTACAATGGAGTCTCTAACATGTTCACAAACACCAGTATAAGCTATTCAATTTTGATTGGGTGTGGCCCCCAAAAATCGAATTTTCAAATTTTAGTGACGGAATCCTTAACGGGTGATACTCTGTTCCTTACTCGTTCCTTACTCGTCGCGCGTCCTGGTAGGTTGTAAACCTACAACGGAATCCTTGAACAAGTAGGTACAGTGTGCCATCTGCAGAGCAACAACTCTCAAATATAAAACACGGCGGTGGTATAAGACCCAACGTATGGGTACTGACTTTTGCCCCCCCCCCCCCCCCCCCCCCCCCCCCCCCCCCCCTGTATTAGAACGTTATAGCATAATAATGCTATTCAAAAATAGTGCACCGTTTATTACTTCTCCAATTATAGGCATGCATAGTCGTCAGTCTTATGTATTATATACTTATATAGGGTTATTAATAGGATACGATAGCTATATAATATTAATATATTATGTGCGATAGATACAAATAATTATTTGGTGAAAAAACAAAATTCTTACCTTCATTCGTATCAGCACTTGCAGTCCCAAATAGGAAGAGAAACGAAAACAATTTCAACATTTCTATTTTTAGAAGGTTGAAGATTTATTCATAAATATTTTGATTTATTTAACATTGAATAAAACTGACAATGTTTTACTGTATGAGGCATAATTTTGTTAAAACAAGATGAATATTTCATTAATATTGCAGAAAAATTTAGGAATAGAGAGGGACACAGGGACACAGGGACACAGGGACACAGGGACACAGGGACACAGGGACACAGAGACACAGGGACACAGAGACACAGGGACACAGGGATACAGAGACACAGTGACACAGGGACACAGGGACACAGGGACACAGGGACACAGGGACACAGGGACACAGGGACACAGGGACACAGGGACACAGGGACACAGTGATACAGGGACACAGTGATACAGGGACACAGTGATACAGGGACACAGGGACACAGGGACACAGGGACACAGGGACACAAAGACACAGTGACACAGGGACACAGGGACACAGGGACACAGGGACACAGGGACACAGGGACACAGGGACACAGGGACACAGGGACACAGGGACACAGGGACACAGGGACACAGGGACACAGGGACACAGGGACACAGGGACACAGGAACACAGGGACACAGGGACACAGGGACTCAGGGACACAGGGACACAGGGACACAAAGACACAGTGACACAGGGACACAGGGACACAGGGACACAGGGACACAGGGACACAGGGACACAGGGACACAGGGACACAGGGACACAGGGACACAGGGACACAGAGACACAGGGACACAGGGATACAGGGACACAGTGACACAGTGATACAGGGACACAGGGACACAGGGACACAGGGACACAGGGACACAGGGACACAGGGACACAGGGACACAGGGACACAGGGACACAGGGACACAGTGATACAGTGACACAGGGACACAGAAATACAGGGACACAGTGATACAGGGACACAGGGACACACGGACACACGGACACACGGAAACACGGACACACGGACACAGGGAGGTTAAACTTAAAGTAATTAGATTTAAATAACTAAATAACTATTATTAGATAAAGTTGTAAACAAGGAATTGTTTAAAACGAACGTGCTAAATCACTCTACACTCTAATAACAAGAACTGTAACGATAAGAACTATAAGTATTTTGGAAGTTACTAGAATGAGCTGCAGGGTTATTAAGACACCCTTTCAAAACAGCAGTATGTAGCGACAGATAGCGCTAAATAACTCTAGATAACGCTAAATAGTGTCAGATAGCGCCGATTAGTGATAATAACGCTAACTAATGACAGAGGCCGAAACGTCGAAAATACATGATGTATCTTGTTTTATAGTGAGTGGGGACTTTCAATTCGTCCTCTGCTCAAAAGAGCGGAAAACATAAAATAACGCTATAAACCGTCGGACACCTTTTCGATATCAATAGATCATCGCGCTAGATAGCGTCCGATAGCGGTAAGTGCGCAACATCTAGTGACAGTGTTATTTTATATATAGCGCTATCGCTGAATTTCGTTCAATATCAACGTACAGCAAAATTCTTTAACATAATCAGGAGTATCATCAACATCGATTAAAACCTAAAAAGTCCTTTGAAAAACTTTACCAGGAGACAATCTTTCCAAACCTAGCGAGTGTGTATGGAAACATTTCCGTAGATGCATTGAAAACAGCTGAGCTTGATTCGATATTATCGATGCTTTAGTCTAACATTAAGTATGGGGAATATGTTAATCGTATGTCACGCTAAATCATATAAGTCTGGTAAATGTGGATGAATAACTGGTTTAGATATTTACTCTTTTTGTGTAACGGTTATCAATGCGACATAACAAGATTAACAAATTGTTATAATCATAGTATGTTGCAGGAGGTGACCGGGACATGATTTCAGGCCTGACCGGAACCGGGACCGGGACCGGGACCGGGATACAAAATGTGACTTGACCGGGACCGGGACCGGGACCGGGACTGAGATCCGCTGAGATTATCAATTTACCGGGACCGGGACCGGGACCGGGATGAAAAATGTGACTTGACCGGGACCGGGACCGGGACCGGGATGCTCAAAATTGCCAATCCCGGTACCGGGATTCCCGGTACCGGGAATTCCGGTCGATTACTGGTTAATTCATGATCATAATTTATTACTCAAACTTGTTTAGCAATTTTAAACATTGTTGTATTTGGCTCAGAGGATGTTTAAAGATGAAATTCACAATGAATGAAAGGAAAAACTTAAAATCACAGTGAATGAAATTATGTAAAAGATCCCGGTCAAAATCCCGGCAAATTTGAGTGATTGACCGGGACCGGGACCGGGACCGGGACCGGGACCAAGAATCCCGAATTAACCGGGACCGGGACCGGGACCGGGATCATAAATAAATAAATCAGCATTTGACCGGGACCGGGACCGGGATAGCTCAAAATTGCCAATCCCGGTACCGGGATTCCCGGAACCGGGAATCCCGGTCACCTCCTGGTATGTTGATCTACGTTTGTTCGAGTGGTAAAAAATGGTATGACTATAACTCATCTCCCTTACTCTAACACTCAGTAGCGCAACGTTGCCTGTTACGCTACTGCTAACACTAAGCCGCCCTAAATCAAGAGCTCGGTCTCTGCCTTATATTACCATAGTCTCATGTGTGCTGCGTGATTCGTGGGTCACGTGATCAGCATTGGCCAAGTCTCGGTGACGGTAATCTCTTTCTGCAGAAGAGTTATAACCGTATGAGCTAATGACTCGGGAGAGACCGAGCAACCTACCAATGAATAAGTCAACAGCTTGTGAAACTGCGAGGGGACCTTTAATGCATGTTTAAGAAATGCAGGAAAAGATTTCAAGGCTTGAAGCTGAGATTTTGTGTAGGCATTGTTTTCCGATGGGTAATCGACGATTATCTTGAAATAGCTCATCGAGAATGGGAGGGGGAACTTTAATATAGCTTTAAGAAATGCGGTAAAAGTTGTCAAAGCTTGAAGCTGTATTAAACTGAACGATTTAAATCTGTGGGGAGGAATTTAATCTAGAGGTTAACAAAATGCTTTGTTATAAAGGTCAATTCTTGTAGCTGAGATTTTGTCCAAGCAATGTTTTCCGATGGCCGATGGGTAATCGACGAGTATGTCAAAAAGTTTAAGAACACGATGCCCCCTCCAATTTTCTGAAGTGATAATTTTGGAACTTTGACGGGCTATAACTCTCGCTAGGAACAGCCATTTGCCCAAAACTTGGTACCATATGACTCTACTCAATGAGACAAAAAAATGTCACCCACAAGTTGGCGCTCTTAGTACATAGACTAAGTGAGCCGAGTGGGTCGTTAATGACCCAAATTCTTTATTTTTTAAAAGTTAGAGTCATACAGTATTGATCATATGTGTTTAACTTACGCTACAGTTTTTATTTTATCCTAACGTCTTTGTTTCAGAAGTTAAAGCCGTAAAACCGTGATGGGTCGTTTGCGACCCGGACGTGGCGCAGTTAGTAAACAGCGTTTAGCTCTGTTTGTGAACATTTGATTATCACTGGCTTTTTATTTGTCTCAAGGAAATCGTTGCCTGCAACTATTTTGTTCTCAAAAAATAAGCCTACATAAAGTTGTAATGTCCCAATCAAGGCAAGAAGTTAAGTTGTAAGTGAAATATTTTCCAATTATGACGACTAATTAGTCTAATTATTTAATTGTTAGTGATTAATTGGGTCTCGACTGGAAAGTCAATAACGTAGCCCAATAAATTTTGAGCATATGTGCGAAAGATTCGTGGCGTTTGGTATTTTGGTTTGTCCTCTATGACTATAGCCTCTAGAAAAGGTGTGTCGTAAACGACCCTATCGTCCCTAATGGGTTAATAGTGAGTAGTGATTCGGAAAGACAGCAGCAATACTGCGGAGCCTAAAAGGAGAGACACGGTGAGAAGTGATAGTGATGACAGTGATAGCAGTAGTGATGAGGAGGGGGATGCCTGAGCAATACATATACATGTGATCTTGGCAGTACATATACTTTTTCCAACACAGAATACTGTCAGTCATACAAGGCTTAAAGTTGAATGGGTTAATTGTAATTACGATATGAAGCATGAGTTGGCGCTCTTAGTACATACACTATATGTTTTCCGTCATATTTATAATACAAATCTCCTCCTCAGAAGATTACGGTGGTTAAGGCGAGTTTGGAATGCTCGACAGACTCTGAATGTAAACTTTAAATAATTTATTAATACTGGTATATTTACTACGTGTAAAGATGGCTTAACCTTACTATTTTACTATCCTCAAGTGTAATAGCTTATTATATTCATGTAATGTAAATCTATGTCGTGACCGCTTTTTTCTATGCTAATCATAATATGATTGAATTTGTATAACTTGTCAGTAAGCAACTTTGTTCTAGAGTTTGCGTAGAATTCCTTGTTAATTTCAGTCATTACCTAGCGAGTGTGTTTGGAAACATTTCCGTAGATGCATTGAAAACAGCTGAGCTTGATTCGATATTATCGATGCTTTAGTCTAACATTAAGTATGGCCATGGGGAATATGTTAATCGTATGTCACGCTAAATCATATAAGTCTGGTAAATGTGGATAAAACTGGTTTATATATTTACTCTTTTTGTGTAATCAATGCGACATAAAAAGATTAACAAATTGTTATAATCATGGTATGTTGATCTACATTGCATTTGTTCGAGTGGTAAAAAAATGGTATGACTATAACTCATCTCCCTTACTCGAACACTCAGTGGCGTAACGTTGCCTGTTACGCTACTGCTAACAATAAGCTGCCCTAAAACAAGAGCTCGGTCTCTCATGTGTGCTGTGTGATTCGTGGGTCACGTGATCAGCATTGGTCAGGTCTCGGTGACGGTAATCTCTTTCTGCAGAAGAGTTATAACCGTATGAGCTGATGACTTGTCGCTTGGGAGAGACCGAGCAACCTTCCAATGAATAAGTCAACAGCTTGTGAAACTGTGAGCAGTGAGGGGACCTTTAATGTAGATTTAAGAAATGCAGTAAAAGATTTCAAGGCTTGAAGCTGTATTAAACCAAACGATTTGAATCTATGGGAGGAACATAATAGAGGTGAACAAAATGCTGTTATAAAGGTCAATTCTTGTAGCTAGATGCTTTATTCAGCAAACAGAAGCAAGGAATAAGGGCTATTATGCCTGGCTTCGTAAACTACTACTTTAAGGAAGGTGCCTTACCACAACACACAAAGCCATTTTTCAGTGAACATGAAATTCTCACTGTGCATGGTCTTATCGTTTACAACTCAATTATCTTGATGCATAAAGTTAAAAACATGCCACAATTAGTCCCCAAAAACATCTCTCAAGCTTTTCCCGCCGACATACCCACAAAACTTTCTGATCACACGTCAGCCTGCTCCTGGCTCCAGTTATACGGGAAACGACACTTTCAAAACAGTAGTTTCTACAAGGGACCACTGCTCTCTGTCTTCGCAGACAAAGCAGACGTTACTACACTTCCGACATTATTTTCGATAAATCTGTTCAAGACTAGTGCCAAGAAAATGCTACTTAATCTTCAAAGTGATGGTGATGTTAACGAGTGGCAACCATTCCTACTGCACAATGTTCCTGGCCTAAGACAGTCTAGACGTGAAATTTAAACTTTTAACATTTAACCTGAATCGAATTTCAACTGAAACGAATATAATCTAAGTTTAAATTAAGTCTATTGTCTAATTAATGGCTTGCAACAGGGAGCAGTATGAAAATCACACAACCCAGCACATAGAAACTACACTAAATGACACAAATTTAAATAACAACTTGCAATTACTGACTACCAATATAATAACCGCTCGCATAACTACCCCCACTTAGCGTAGATAAGCAAGCATTTCACTGCCGCTAAATTCTTTTTCCATACATTTAATCTCAATCGCGCACTCATAATTACTGTAAGCGCTGAGTTACCGGCCAAAATCATTAATCACTGATGGTAAAATTATGCACAAAATTTTAAAAACAATAGTCCAAGCTGTTCAGTGCAAGTCTAAACTTCTTAACCTATAGGATCGATATTATGGATGTGTAATATCATGTGTAGCGTGAAGCGTTGTGTTTTTAAATCTGTAGTTCATAGTACTTCATGATCACAGTGTACTTTTTGATAAACCGTGTGCAGTGCCCTTTCCAGAGGGTTTTTTGAAAAGAATTCTTTAACGTTACTATTTTCTATCTATTACTGTTTGTATTATAATTTTGAGTAAACATTAATCGAGTAAACCGCTCGATTCCCAATCAGCTGAGATTTTGTACAAGCATTGTTTTCTGAGGCCGATGGGCAATCGACGATTAACACAAAATATATCATCGCTGAATGGTTTTTGGAGATCGAGGATCCTTGCATGTTATAAGAAATGCCGTTATAAATGTTGAGAAATTGAGATACCTGCCTGCCTAGATCCCTGCCTGCCTGAAATAAAAATTAAGCACAATTAAAAGTTGGCATGCTCCGATAACTGATATTGAACCCAGGTACCAATCCTGTGCCGATCACCAAAATCACATGACACTATTGGCCAATCTTACATTCCTAGGCCACACGTATACTGTCCTGATATGCTTATCTTTTGTTTAATTTTGTTATCTTTGTCACTCCCATTTGTAAACGGATATCGTTATAATTATCATTTATCAGATAGGAGATAAGTCACCAGTTTAACTTATGAGTGTGAAAGTAGAAGAAATGGTAAATTACTCGAATCACAATAAATTTAATAGTGATATGAGGGTATCCCTTATATATCCCTTAATACATAAATAAATGTTATAAATAGACAATATCAGCTGCACAATGCGCATCTTAGCAGAGCCAAAAGACTAAACATTTTTGTTGGGCCCTCTGAGGCCTATAACACTATATACTATATAGTATAATATAATATAAATGATATATAGAACTGAAAAGGTTTCAGGCCATCGCTCGTTGCAGCGCCAGCAGCAGTCAGCACCCCCAGACACGATCGACATTTCAAAGTCTGGGCAGAAACTCCATGGATTGTTTTACTGGTGGCGGTGGCTCTTACAAATTCGCTCGCCCAAAAATGTCACGTGACTTTGGTTATTTATGGTTTTGCAGCCGTACAAAACGGTTTTACATAAACCCTAGTCCCAACCCTAACCCAAGTCCTAAACAATCGAATTCATGTTTTACTAGCCTGTCACGTGACCAAAACAGTTTTTTGCCCATAACTCTCCAGGGAAGCATTTTTACCCTACGTCATGGTAAATGATTCGGAATCAGCGTCCAAAAATATACCGCACCGATTTCAGATTTAAATCAATTTCATACCCAAAGGGCCTTTTCACAAGAATTTTCTCAAAATTTGGGCAAGCGATTTAGTAATATAAAAGCGGGTGGCGGTCCACATTGTACAAAAGGAAAATTTGGGACAATGTAGATTAAAGATTTATAGAGTTATCCCAAAAAGTTTTATTGTGGACCGAATAAATGATAAAAGTTCAAAACTTTAATTTTTGGCTTTGCAAAATCCTGTTATGATCTGATTGGCTGAATTTTGGAATGTGTCACGCGGGCAATTATGAATTAGCAATGAGTAAACTTACCGCAAAACTAAAAAGTGTCTTTACTTCTTTAGCATGAAGTCTTGCATGGCCGGTAAGGTTTTTTAGGTTAGTGAATTAAAATTGCCGTGCCAGGTACTGAGCGGCGAGCGCTGGTTGATACATGTTACGTATCACAAATAATAGAGATATTATATATTTTCCGCTGCGGCGCGCGCAATGCGCGCGAAATGTGGCATGCAACGTATGTCAAAGCGCTGGGTACTGGTTGACGGATGTTACTCGTCTAAATTTCTTCAAAGTAGCGTGTGCCGCTTTCTTCTCGAAATATTATGGCCCGATGGCAAATGCTACGAAGTAGCGCGCGCCGGGCCAGACCATTAACAATGGTCAAACTCGGCGCACGTCCTGGTAGGTTGTAAACCGTCAGTGATTTTGATAAATTTGGTACCAAAAGGTGCCTTTAAGTATGAATAATCAATAATGCAAATTTACCGTGCAGCTTACCTGGGGACCTCAGGCTATCATGTTCATTAATAGAAATTTGGCGGAATGACAATTGACAGGCTGAGCGCGGCCTTGCTCTAACCAGAGCCCTCTCGCTTGCAGTAGCGCGCGACCGCCGAAGGCGGCAAAAGATTCAACTTGTATAACAACTTGTAGTAGAGGCTCTTACGGGCAAAAAGACGTGTTTTCTGCTACGAGTTTAGAGACCTAACCGCTAATTGGACACAATAGTATGATGTCTAAGGATCGATAATATGTTAAGAAGTATAAATTTGGCCTTATTAGTCACGTGCTATACCAATGCGCGTTTTAAACTTTGACAGTCTATTACTCTAAGGCAAATAGAGTAATTATATTCATATTTTGTCAGCAATAAGATCACATTGTTTTCTATTTAGTGTGAAAATATGAGCTAGAACGGACATAATCTCGCTGAGTTATAGCTGTTTGAAATTTATGATGAACGCGCGGGTGCCAATTGATAACAACTAAATGCTTTTGCGCGTAGTGCGCGTCGAAAATTTGGCAAAAACGCTTGCGGAGTGAAAATATTCAAACTTCGATAAAGTATATGAAGTGGGTACTTCTCGGAAAGGAAAAATTTAGGCAAACACGATGTAACTATTTTTGGGTTGATTTAATACAACTGCAAAAAATTATTCAAACTTCAAGCAAAAAAGTCAAAATTTTTACCACTTTTTTGGATTTTTACCTCAGAACAAATAGAGGGATTTGTTTTATTTTTATACAATCTTGTGCGGCTGTCTTTTAGCTATCTTTATGCAAGTTTTGCCGACATGCCAACAAAATTAACTTGCTCAAAATATCAAAAAACATGGTTTTTTGGCCTATTTTTGGCCCAAAAATCGGTTTTTTGCGATTTTACCCCAGAACAATCAGTCCAATCATCTTGAAACCACTTTCAATCGATTCTACGGTCAAAAATACGTCTAGTAAGGTGTATCTGGGGTCCCTAACGTATCGAGCAGACAATGCCCGTAAGAGCCTCTACTATTGTGAAACAAGCGCGTCACGCAGTACGCGTATACACATGGCTATGTGAAAGCGCGGCCCAGTAACCGTGCAGCATGATACAGTTTACTGGGCGGTGCTCAGCC